TTCTGAAAAAGGCTGAGAAATACTATTGTTGCAAAATCAGCGGCAAAATACTAAGAAATAACGAAATAATATTTTTGCAATAATTAAATTAAGCATAAACAAATATATTTAGGAACAATTTGTTCTTTGTATAAAAGTTCGACTATCCTCGGTAGGTTTAGCCTATCCTAGACAGGTTAGTCTAGGACGTCTTAAAAAACAACAAATATACAAAACATACAAATATTTTTACATTTGATAAAACAAATTATATTACGATGAGCAAATAATTTAGAATAGAATATCCTTGCTTTTTGTCTAAAAGTTCGGATATCATCGGCAGGTTTCGCCTATCCTAGACAGAATAGGCTAGAACGTCTCAAGAGTAGAATATAGATGGTCGAAAATAAGAACACAAATATTTTTATATTTGGCAAAACAAATTATATTTTGATGAACAAATAGTTGAGAATAGAATAACTTTGCTTTTTGTCTAAAAGTTCGGTTATCCTCGGCAGGCTTCGCCTATCCTAGACAGGCTAGTCTAGGACGTCTTGAGAGTAGAATATAGAATATAGATGGTCGAAGATTAGCATACAAATATTTTTACATTTGGCAAAACAAATTATATTTGTATGAGCAAATAATTTAGAATAGAATATCCTTGCTTTTTGTCTAAAAGTTCGGCTATCCTCGGCAGGTTTTGCCTATCCTAGACAGGTTAGTCTAGGACGTCTTAAGAGTAAAATATATATGGTCGAAAATAAGCATACAAATATTTTTATATTTGGCAAAACAAATTATATCACGATAAGCAAATAGTTGAAAATATAATATCTTTGCTTTTTGTCTAAAAGTTCGGCAATCCTCGGCAGGTTTTGCCTATCCTAGACAGGATAGCCTTAAGAGTAGAATATAGATGGTCGAAAATATGCATAAAAATTATTTTCACATTTGACAAAACAACTTATATTACAATAAGCAAATAGTTTAGAATAGAATATCCTTGCTTTTTGACTAAAAGTCAGGCGATCCTTGGCAGGTTTTGCCTATCCTAGACAGGTTAGTCTAGGACGTCTTAAGAGGAGAATATATATGGTCGAAAATAAGCATACAAATATTTTTATATTTGGCAAAACAAATTCGATAAGCAAATAGTTTAGAATACAATATCCTTGCTTTTTGTCTGAAAGTTCGGTTGTCCTCGGCAGGTTTAGCCTATCCTAGACAGGATAGCCTTAAGAGTAGAATTTAGATGGTCAAAAATATGCATACAAATATTTTTACATTTGGCAAACCAAATTATATTACGATAAGCAAGTAGTTGAAATCTTTGGCAGGTTTCGCTTATCCTAGACAGGATAGCCAAGGACGTTTCAAGAGTAGAATATAGATGGTCGAAAATAAGCATACGAATATTTTTACATTTGGCAAAACAAATTATATTTGGATGAGCAAATAATTTAGAATAGAATATCCTTGCTTTTTGTCTAAAATTCCGGCTATCTTCGGCAGGTTTTGCCTATCCTAGACAGGATAGCCTAGGACGTCTTAAGAGTAGAATATAGATGATCGAAAATAAGAATACAAATTTTTTTACATTTGATAAAACAAATTATATTACAATGAGCAAATAATTTAGAATAGAATATCCTTGCTTTTTGTCTAAAAGTTCGGCTATCCTCGGCAGGTTTCGCCTATCCTAGACAGGATAGCCTTAAGAGTAAAATATAGATGGTACCAAATTATATTACGATAAGCAAGTAGTTGAAAAACTAATTTATTATATTAGCATTATTAATTTAAACAACTATTTCCACATGAGATAACATTATTTTCGCAAACAAATTGTTATCGATATCGATAAATCAATCTATAAATAGTTCGCAAGTATTTCATTAATAAATTTTAAAAATAAAAACACGACGACGTATTTATTTAATTTGTTTATCAGATTTTAAACAAACGCCATGAAAACAATTCGCAATTAATAATAAGTGACGCAAGTGTTCAGGAAAACATTTGGCGTTAGAATTTTTTTGACGTCATCGTGGGTAAAGAGATAGCAAGTAATGAAAAATGTATCCATGATAAAGAAAAGTCCGAAGGCAGGTCCACGTTGTAGGAACTACTACAAACAAATGTTTCCCTTACCCTTTGTCGACTATCATTTCTCATACCACTATCCCCCTCTCCCTCCCCCCTTTATTTTTATGTATTTTCCTTTCCTTCTGCTTCCATGCTTCCTGATCCTGCGCTTCTGCTTTCAGTTCCCTGCCTAGACAATATAATAATATGGTTCCTTGTTTTTTCTCTTTTTGCGTAAATCGTCAATCGTCTGCATTCTTCTTTTTCCAATTCCTTACAGTCCTTCTATTTTATCTTCAACTTCGTCGTGCGGTAGGCACTCTTTTTGCAGAACGAGTCCAAACCAGTTTCCTTTTCGTTCTGTACTCGTCAAAATATCGATATAACTCAGTATAGACTATCTTAACAACAAATATCTATCTATTTTGTAACATCGTGACATCAAATATCTAACTACTTTAGATATATGATGTTCGAAGTGCCATGCTATTAATTTATAATTACTTTTATGAGTAACCTTTCCACAAACTGCACCATTACAACAACCAAGGTTGTCGTTCCCGTCTTATCTTTTGTGAAAACTATTCAAACACTTGACGTAATTTACCATTTTGAATATATTATTCTACTTTTATCTTTTATCCATCGCCATAACTCGACTTTATTCGTTTTGATAAATCTAAAATTAAAAATTGGCGCTTTTTCAGAACTCTACAATCGAATTAGTAGACGGGGCTCTGGGAAGAAAAAAAGTATGAAGTGATTGACAAATTGGCATACGAGGCTATATTCATGCTGGAAAATTGTTATGTTGGTACTTTGGAAAGCGCTGCAAGCTCTTAGCAAGGATATAAACCGTTGGAAAATTCTTTATTAAGTCTTGAATAAAATAGTTTTTATTAGGCTTGGTGTTTAAAATATTTAAATAGTGTACATAAATTATGTTTTATAATAAACTGTACGTATGGGAAATTTTAATTTTTGTATTATTATTGTTTTTACAAATGTAAATTCATAAATTTTGTGGAAATTTGTTTAAAGAAAGAGATAGGTGTCATAAGTATTAAAAATATAATAAATTAATTCATGTTTTTGTAGTTGAAAATAAAAGGAAGAAAATATTTACTTATTTTATTAACATTTTGGATTATACACATAGAATAAACACATAGAATTATTTGAATTTGAATTTGAATTATACACATAGAATAAACCAGGTGTAGGTGTGATTCTACCTTAAGGCAAATTGTTTGAACCTAAAATGTTTAAGAATTAGGAATTAAGTATTAAGAATTAAAAATTAAAAATTAAGAATTAATAGTCAAGAATTAAAAGTTTATATGATTCTTATTAATGCCCATCATTTTAAATCTGATTATTTAAGTTTTGTTTATTTACTTTTATGTGAACATATTATATTATATACTCTTCTTTTATCTATGATTTCATGCACCATTAACATAAATAATAAACATTGCCACTAGTTTTTAAATATATAATAATCTGTCTTTCTTTTTGAAGTAAAACTTTTTTAGGCGCGACTAGGGTGTAAATCCGTACAAATGCAACGGAAGTGCGTTACGGCCGTGTCGAGTGCCAATAATTCGTCATTCTCTCTCGATGATATCATTTCTATACGGGTCGATTGTGATTAGTCGCCATGTATGTGAATAGAGATCTGTCGTTGTATGCGTACCGGCATCAACGTTGTAAGCGTACCAATTTCGACAAGGAATCGGCATAGATAAATAAATATTTAAAGTTACATCGTGGTACAAATCTTGATTTAATGAAAAATGCCTGAATCAGAAGAATATTTTACCCTGTTCCTTGAAAATAATAAAACAAATTAAACGTTTGGGCCGTGTACTTAACGTAAGTTTATTGATTAGAAATTATTTCTATATTATTCGTAGTTTCTATAAATCTTTGAAGTTATTAAAATGGTAAATATGTTTAGGCAAGACAGATATTACAGGTGCTCAAAGAATGAGATCATATCGCCAGCGAAAAAGTAAAAAAAATACAAGCAGTCAATGAATGTATGTTAATTTTAATTACATGAAGTCGTTCAAACACAATTATATGATGAGTTAAGTTGCGAAAACAATATTTGTTTAGGCGTTGTTTAACATAATCCACTATGTGAACAAATATTATAGAATTTATTAAACAGGAATTACTTCGTCTAATGAAGGTTTATTTCTAAATGCTAATTACGATGACAAACCGATCATGTCATATTTGAAGTATGACTTTAATTACATTATTGTTTTTAAATATTATACATATTATTAATGCTATTATAAATATATAATTTATAATTTATCATTATATAAATGTGTATCATGGATGACACTAATAAATGTGTGCATCACGAGTATTACCATATTACTAATAAACATTATTTAAAATTGTTATATGATGTACTTATTTTTACTTAAATGCTATCTTGTACAGTAGCAAATAAGTTTTACTTCAATCGCCTGTAAACCTTACGCGCACTATTTCTTTTTGTCACCAGCTCTCTGACTATTGTCACCGTTTGTCCCTCTCGCGCATCGCTTCACTCCAGTTCGCTTTCGTGAATCCGTCATGGCGGCGGTCGGAATGTCACTTTAAAACGCGAATTTGTGAATTAATTGTGCAAAAAGTGTTTAAAAAGTGTCCATTTCACCCTTAAATCGATTTAACATTAAGGATTCAACCGTACGTAAACAAATCCCTTAAATTCCTTTCAGAATAATGTCTGAAATTCTTTCCGATTTATATATTATTCTAATTATTTATTTCTAATTAATGTCATTTATTTAATGTCGAGAGTTGTAAAATATCGAGCCATTTGTTGTTTTCATGTGTATGATAATTGTTGATTTAAATATGTCGTGAGAATGGTTTAATTAGGTTTATAAGTTAGGTTATGTTGTGTACAATTTAGTATTTAAGCTTAAGGTTATAAGGTGCTCGCATGGAATTGATTTAATTCAATTTCAATTGATCTTTGGACATGGACGAGGAAATTATATCAAGAGGAAAGAACACTTGAGGAATTGATGGAATGGATTGGCTATTTAGGTGAGTGATGATGACTTTATTTATTTATATTTATTTCAGTTTTTTTTTGTTTCTAAAGTTTCTTCGAAGGCCAGTTGGATTTATAAGAATATTCTATATTCTCTTTGAAAAGACACTTATCACTTTGACCATTCGAGGTGACAGTACTAACTTAGTTTCTTTGAAGGACAGTTGGATTTATACGAATATTCAAAATTACTCTTTGAAAAGGCACTTATCACTTTGACCACTCGAGGTGACATTACTAACTTAATTTAATCGGAACTATAAATACAAATAGTTCAATGACAATTATTTTGACTGTGTGCAGTTTTGCAATTACATCTTATATATATATATATATATATATATATATAATAGAAATTTGTGAAATGAATGGAACGAATATTAAATGTTATATATGAACAACACAACACTCAGATTTTTAACACATATTTTATTTGGTAATTTCGAGACCATGGTATGCCTCATCTTCAAAACAGTTACTTATATACTACACATTTTTTAATATTTTATTTAAATTACATTTAATTTTTGATAATACAAAAAACACCAACTATCACTTGCAAAGCTTGACACAGTACTAAAACATGTGAAACATACAGAAATATTTTAAACAAATCTTAAGTATCGAGATGAAGAGACAGGATGGGTATTATTATAATGTAAATCATTAATAGAGGCGGTGTATGTTTTACAGATTGGTACAGAAAAGATAGTTGGTCCAGGAGGTACATTAACTTTAATTCCCATGTTCCTCTCAATATAAAAATTTCTACCATTTTAAATCTTGCAGATTACGCTATTATATTATCTGATCCTTTGTTTCATGACATAAACATAAAATTAGTTAAAACGATCTTACTTGGCAATAATTTTCCATATAAGTTAATATGTCCATTTATAAAAGAGTTGCTAAATTACTTGAACCTTTTGATAAGAAGCCGTAAGATCATGGCCAACACTTGTTCCTGAAAAAAATTTTTTCATTAATTTTCCATACCTCGACAATAATTTTAACCAATTATCAAAAAGACTATTAAAAAAACACAATATTCATATTATCTTTTCTTCATTGAAACAATTAAAATTTTTATATTCTAACATTAAAGACGAAACTCTTTTAACATAAAAGAAAGATGTAGTTTATAAAGTAAATTGTTTGAATTGTAATTGTTCCTATATTGGCCAGACTTGTCAGAACTTAGAAAAAAGACTCAGGCAGCATGAATTACAATGCGAAAAAATAGATAATAAAAAATTTAAAAGTACACTTGTGGATCATGCTAATATCAACAACCATAAGTTTGATTTTGATAATCCCCAAATCTTATTCCATGAAAAACACTTATTTAAACGGAGCATGGCAGAATCAATGTTAAGAGTTTGAACTAACAATAGCATAAATCTGAGAACTGACACAAATATTTTACACAACTCTTATATAAACATCATTAATGATTTATAATTTTTTTCATTAAATTATTCTCTTCAATAAATTAATCTTTTTTCACATTTGATGATTTTGGTATGCGATTGTGCACTCCATTTGTTTACATTATAATAATAACCATCCTGTCTCTTCATCTCGATACTTAACATTTGTTTAAAATATTTCTGTATGTTTCACATGTTTTAGTACTGTGTCAAGCTCTGTAAGTGATAGTTGTTGTTTTTTGTATTATCAAAAATTAAATGTAATTTAAATAAAATATTAAAGAATGTGTAGTATATAAGTAACTGTTTTTGAAATTACACTGAAGATGAGGCATACCAATGTCTCGAAATGTCTGTAATTACCAAATAAAGTGTGTGTTAAAAATCTGAGTGTTGTATTGTTCATATTTTACATTTATTATATAATATATATATATATATATATATATATATTAGAGCGGGTCAATTTGTATGGGTCAAAAAATTTGATGTCCAGTGCATTGACCCAAAAATAAGTGTTAAAATTCGATAAACTCCAGTTTGAACCATTTTAGAGTGCCCCAATTAAATCCAAATGTATAACCAACCCCCACTAACTTTGGAAGTCTGATCCCATGGCAGTGGTTCAACCCCTGGGACCCCCCTGTGAAGTTTTTCAAAATTTAACCCCTATCTTTAGATCAATGCACGTTACATCAGAATTCATTTTAGAGGTATGGTTTCTTAAGCAAAGTACATATCTTATTTTTATTCCTAGATTCCGAAAATCATATGTGCCTAAGAAACAATAAAATTCCATAGTTTCATCAATTGTGCCTTAAGGCAAATTGCTGGAACTTCCCGTACCGTAACGAAATGTTCGAGGAATATTAAATGTTTTCAAATAGATTATTATAAATATTGTAACATTGTCTAATATTTATAACAATTATATAAACTGAATTGCAGAGTTGAAATTATTTGTAAAGTATATTAGAACTATAGTCCGAATTGAAAATAAATATTTTCGATATACAAAAAACTAAAAAAAAAAAAAAAAAAGGGACAATTTTTTTTCCCAAAATCGATTATTTTGTTAAGACAAGCAGAAAGTTCTTTGAATCATTTAAATCGGACGCTTAGTTCTCTCAAAAACTGCCATTTTTTACATATTTAGCTCCGTATCTTCAAAATGGCTGGGCCTGCCTTTGCCAAAAACTAATAAACACTTCTCCCAATCATTACTAATTGAATGTTTTTTAGATCATTCAAATCGGATACTCCGTTCTCTCAAAAATACGATTTCTATTTTCTGCACTCTTTGCTCCGTATCTCCGAAACGGCTGGACCTGCCTTTGCCAAAAACTAATCAGCTCTTTTCCCTATCAATAGGAATCGGACGTTTTTTGAACCATTCAAATCGGTTGATCCGTGCGCCCTAAAACGTGACTGGAAATTTGTATCCACACATACATACACACACACACACATCCATTTTTTCTGAGGTATGCCAAAACGTTCAGAAACCTTCAAAACGTCGAGAAATGTAAAAATTTTCAATTCCGATTTTCGGTCCATTACTATAACTTACCCTACGGGAAGTTAATAAAAGGCTTTTAGGTATAAATGATTTTTTCAATTATTTCCAATCAGAAAATATCTGAAATAGAAATACAATAGAAAGTAACAAGATCACATGTTTAATTCAATACAATTGTGTTTAAAATAATCATTAATTGGCTTTAGACTTCTTGTGCCCGTATAAATATTTTTATGGTTGTTTAATATTCAATTGGATTAGGGTTTTGTGGCTTCCTTGAATACTTAAAACCAAGTTCATCGAGTCTCTCATCAATTACTTGTCTAATTACTCTTTGGTATGAGCAGCAGAAAGACAACATCCACTTTAGCTATATTTCGTTCTTTAAGTGTCCTTACCACCACCCTAATTTTTAGAGGATAGTTAACCAAAATTTATATGACTGGTGAGTCTTGATGTCCGTAAGTAATGACAATAATTTGAGCTAATCTTCTTCGAAATTGACTTAAGAATTGAATTGTATACTTAAGACCAAGTTCATTGGGTATCTCATTAATTACTTATAGTGCGTACTTAATTGCTCTTTGGTATGAGCAGAAGAAAGACAACATCCACTTCAGCTATATTTTGTTTTTTTAGTGTCCTCACCACCATTTCTAACAATTTTAGAGAATAAGTTAACCAAAATTGGTATGACTGGCGAGTCTTCATGTCCTTAAGTAATGACAATAATTTGAGCTAATCTTCTTCAAAATTGACTTAAGAATTGAATTGTATACTTAAGACCAAGTTCATTGGGTATCTCATTAATTACTTATAGTGCGTACTTTAATTGATCTTTGGTATGAGCAGAAGAAAGACGACATCCACTTCAGCTATATTTTGTTTTTTTAGTGTCCTCACCACCATTTCCAACAATTTTAGAGAATAAGTTAACCAAATTGGTATGACTGACGAGTCTTCATGTCCTTAAGTAATGACAATAATTTGAGCTAATCTTCTTCAAAATTGACTTAAGAATTGAATTGTATACTTAAGACCAAGTTCATTGGGTATCTCATTAATTACTTGTAGTACATACTTTAATTGCTTTTTGGTATGAGCAGAAGAAAGACGACATCCACTTCAGCTATATTTTGTTTTTTAGTGTCCTCACCACCATTTCCAACAATTCTAGAGAATAAGTTAACCAAAATTGGTATGACTGGCGAGTCATCATGCCCTTAAGTAATGACAATAATTTGAGCTAATCTTCTTCAAAATTGACTTAAGAATTGAATTGTATACTTAAGACCAAGTTCATTGGGTATCTCATTAATTACTTATAGTGCGTACTTTAATTGATCTTTGGTATGAGCAGAAGAAAGACGACATCCACTTCAGCTATATTTTGTTTTTTTTAGTGTCCTCACCACCATTTCTAACAATTTTAGAGAATAAGTTAACCAAAATTGGTATGACTGGCGAGTCTTCATGTCCTTAAGTAATGACAATAATTTGAGCTAATCTTCTTCAAAATTGACTTAAGAATTGAATTGTATACTTAAGACCAAGTTCATTGGGTATCTCATTAATTACTTATAGTGCGTACTTTAATTGATCTTTGGTATGAGCAGAAGAAAGACGACATCCACTTCAGCTATATTTTGTTTTTTTAGTGTCCTCACCACCATTTCCAACAATTTTAGAGAATAAGTTAACCAAAATTGGTATGACTGACGAGTCTTCATGTCCTTAAGTAATGACAATAATTTGAGCTAATCTTCTTCAAAATTGACTTAAGAATTGAATTGTATACTTAAGACCAAGTTCATTGGGTATCTCATTAATTACTTGTAGTACATACTTTAATTGCTTTTTGGTATGAGCAGAAGAAAGACGACATCCACTTCAGCTATATTTTGTTTTTTTAGTGTCCTCACCACCATTTCCAACAATTCTAGAGAATAAGTTAACCAAAATGGTATGACTGGCGAGTCATCATGCCCTTAAGTAATGACAATAATTTGAGCTAATCTTCTTCAAAATTGACTTAAGAATTGAA